GATGAATGTGTTACAGCCCAGCCCAAGGGAAGCATTAAGTGCTATGGTGACAAAAAGTCTATGATAACAGAGGAACTTTTTCAGATCCCTGGAATGTAATTAAAATCTCTTCCAGTTGGCAGGAATCAGGAAATACTTATAGAGGAAACTTAATGGATTTATAAGAAAATTTAATTAATTAAATAAAGGTATTTATTTATTTATTTTTAGAAACAGAGTCTTGCTCTGTCGCCTGGGCTAGAGTGCCATGGAGTCAGCCTAGCTCACAGCAACCTCAAACTCCCAGGCTCAAGCAAACCTCCTGCCTCAGCCTCCCTAGTAGCAGGGACTACAGGTGCCCACCACCACGCCCAACTAATTTTTTCTATTTTTAGCAGAGATGGGGTCTTGCTCTTGCTCAGGCTTGTCTCAAACTCCTGACCTCAAGCGATCCTCTATCCTCGGCCTCCCAGAGTGCTAGGATTACAGGTGCCAGCCACTGGGCCAGGCCAAATTAGATAAATTTAATGAATAAACATTAAATTCAAGAGTAGGGACTATGGCTGATTCCTCATTTTATTCCTAGAACCTAGTTTAAGTCCTCAACAAATATTTCTTAAACTGATCTTGAATGATTGATTGGATTAAACCCCGAAGAACTAGTAGCACTAGTTAAGGAAAATTGGGACAAACAGAGCTGATCTTTCCAAAGAAAAGAAACACAAATCATGAGCAAAAACAAGAAAGAAGAAAAATGTGAGCAGCGTGTAGCCTAATTTGGTTGAAGTGAAGTGTTTACAGAACAGGTAATATTTGAAGTTTAATGATTTTTTTTTTTTTTTGAGACACACCAGTTTCAGTAGAGTGATGAAAGCTGGAGTCCAATATCAAGGAGATGTTTCCTAAGGAGGTGGAGGGGCGGGAGTAGAGCAATCAAGGTGAACTCTTTATTTCAGACATCTGATTGAATGAAAATGGGCAAAGGGAGAGAAATTTTAGATTTGAGAGAATACTTTTAAAAAACTATTATTATTTTCAGAGACAGGTGCTTACTTTGTTGCCCAGGTCGGAAGGCAATGGTGCCATCATAGCTCACTATAACCTTGAACTCCTGGGCTCAAACAATTCTCCTGCCTCAGCCTCTAAAGTAGCTGGGACTACAGGTGCATGCAGGACCACAGGCACATGCCACTGTGCCTGGCTAATTTTTTTGTTTGTTTTTTGTAGAGATGGAGTCTCACTACATTACCCAGGCTGGTCTCATAGCCTGGATCTCTTGGCCTCAAGCCATCCTCCTGCCTCAACCTCCCAAAGTGCTGGAATTATAGGCATGAGCCACCAGGCCCAGCTGAGAGAGTACTTCTGTAGGGAGAGAGAGATGCAATAAAGAAGGAAGGAAAGATTGAAGATGCAAGTGGGAAAGAAGACGCGATAGGGAAGGATCTCTTAGGACAAATGGGGGCACAGGATCAAAATCAAAGAGATAAGAGGCCCAGGACTGGATTGACACAAGCCTCATATAGACTTTGCTACTAGCTATTTAATTTGGGGAAGTCATTGAACCTTCTGAGTTTGTTCTCTCATCTGTAAAATGAAGATAGAACATATCATAAGATTATGATGTTTAAATAAAATAATGTTTGTTAAATACCTGGCACATACAGTATACCACTATAAATATAAGTATATTTTTATTGAATTCTACAGAGAATATCTATATACTTATAGAATATATGTAAATATAAAAGTATGTTGGTTTCCTAGGGCTGTGGAATTTATTCCACAGCACCACAAACTGGGTGGCTTAAAACAGCAGAAATTTATTCTTTCACGGTTCAAGAGGCCAGAAGTGTCAAACCAAAACGTCATGAGGATTGGCTCTTTCCTGGGGGCTCAGAAGGTGAATCTGTCCCATGCCTCTCCCCTGACTTCTGGTGGTTGCTGGCAATCCTCAGTTTGTTCCTTGGCCGGTAGTAGCATAACTGTATTCTCTGCCCCTGTCATCACAGGGTGTTCTCTCTGTCTATCCCTGTGTGTGTCTCTCTCTTCTCTTTTTCTTATAAGGACAGCTGTCAAACTTAACTGATTATTTAACTTACTTAAACCTCAAACTAAATTGATTACATCTGCAAAGATCCTATTTCAAAATAAGACTACATTTTAAGTGCCAGATTGACATGAAATTTGCAGAGGACACTGTTCAACCTGGTACAAGAAATATATTGCTGACTTATCCTTATTTTTATAATAACTTCAATAGGCTATTTTGTATAAAAACTAGGATTTGGCCCTTACAAGGGAGGATAGCTCAGGTAATGGAATTTGGATCTCATCAATTCCTCTTCCAGTTGTGTAGCCTTTGGAGGTTATACCCTCTTTAGCTATCAGTTTTCTCATCTGGTAAACAGGGAGAATAATATTTCAGAGTGTTTGGGGGAAAATTATGTGATGTCATGTATGTAAAGTAATGTATGTAACATATTTAGCATGGAACCTGGCCCAGAGGGACAGTGCTTGGCCCACTCAACAAAGGCTAAGCTGTAGTATAGGTGGGTAGAAGTCCAGGTTTCTGTTCATGTACACTAAGAAGATTCCCCATTTTCACACAGTTGGTAGGCTAAAAGTGCTGTTTTCAGAGCCAGTTGCATTGTTCTGACACCGCTTTCCTACCAAGATTTCTCCACACCTGGTTATTCAATACTAGGATGAATGATTTACCTCTATTGTTGACTCACATTCCACAGAAATACTGAATCACTTGTCATTGTCCCTCAATGTCTAGCATTTCAGTTTGCTCATTAACTCTATAATCACTTTGTTTCTGTACTCCAAAAAGCAACTATTTAAACATCATCTTCTACAAGTTGTTTTTTGAAAGGATAATTTAAAAATATTTAAATAAATAATGTCTGAAGTTTCATGAGTTTAATACATTATCTCACTAAACCTCTGTAATTATTTCAGGTAGAAAACCACATATTTTATCTCATTTTTAAAAAGAGAAAATTGATATTCTAAGTGGTTACATGACTTAAATACAACAATTAGCTCTACCCTGAGATGTGGTAATAGCTATATCTTCCACAGCACTGGTGTACATTAGCCATATTCTAGGAGCTCATTGTTGACCATCTGGTAACAAAATATAAAAATTTTAGTCAATATTTTTTGTCTCTGGTAGATCATTATCTTGTCTATAAAGATGACTCACTACCATACCTTTGAGTAGACTTGGCCTGAAGTTATATTGCCAAAATCTATATTGGTCTCCTATTGGTTTGCTTGATTTAACACTCAACTTTGTTAACATGCTGTTTTCCAGTGTGCTGTACTAAGATTGGCAGGTGGGGGATTAAGAATCTAAATATACTCTTTGCCATGCTTAAGGCATTTTTATATCATAAGTTCAAACTCTATTGTATTCAATTGATGTTATGAAGTGATATATAAATATTAATAACAGCACAGTAGAGTAGGACCCTTTAACACTATGCTTCTAGCCCCCAAACAGGCAAATATTCTTAGGATCTTAAGAATTTCTCTATATTATTGCCTGTTATGAACTGCATGTATAACTAGGCAGGCAGGGAATTTTACAGACTGACTTGTAAAATCAAGACAAATTACACGGGGAGCACTAAAGGGAGGGAAGGGCATGCCTTTGGGCGAGGCAAAGACATAAAGTGTAACTACAATGTTTGTACCCTCACAAAACCCTGGAATAATAAATAAATAAATAAATAAATAAAGACAAATTGTGCATTAATTTCAAACCTCAGAAAGCCCAAGGTTGTGTACCAACTACCTGAATCTAAAGAAGCCAAATACAACAAAATTTCTGGCAGTTCAAAACAAGTTACATATGCTTTAGATTTAGTATTTTGGCTTTACTTGTATTTTAGAGTATACCTACATGATTCTTTTGGTTTACTATGTAATAAGGACAGTCATTTCCATTTATAATAGCTGTGTATGAAATGTAAGGAAGCATGTAAAACACATTTTAGATGTAAAACACAGAGATCTTGGTACATGTGTGCAAAAGACAAGACTGTTTTTGTTTCTTCTGAATTCATTGGAAGATGAACTAAGAAGTTTTTTTCTCCATCTCCAATTTCTGACTGTGGTGGAATAGCCTGGTATTCCACCACATATAAATTCTTAACAGAACACAGATTTCATGAATTTGTGGCTTGCCTGCACTTCCTTTTTTAAAATCCTGACCCCCACTGCTAAATTTGACTGGCTAAAAAAAAAAAAAATCCTGGACATTTGTAGATGAAAATATCTCCATTACCACTTAAATGCTTTACAAAATAAAAATATAAACTCTTTGCAGATTTATTTCAAAACATTCTAAACCCCAACATTCTTTACTGATACAAAACTCACATGGATTAAGCAATTTGAAGATTTAGTGTAAATAGGCACCACTTTGCAGTAGGTTGGGTACAGATAAAGCATTTCAGCACGTATTCTGCCACAAAGCATCTGGGAGTCTTAAATTAGAGCTTCAGAATTCCTTCTGAAAAGGACAAAAGAAAGACTTCCTGTCATTTCCACTGGTTTCTGCATGTGGGACCAATATGGGCAATGCAAAGTTTAAACAGATGCAAATGGTGAGGGGAGGAGGAAATGTCATGCCTTGTTTTACATATTTCTCCATATCCAGATTGAATTTAAGTCAGTCTCTCCTTGGAGCTTCCAGAGTAGACATCCACCGAAGTTACAGCATGCTTGAATGGTCTATTTCACCAATATTTGCTTATGGAAATAAAGGGGAGTGACGGGGGAAAAAGAGGAGAGAAGTGGAGGAGGGGTTTGAAGCTGAGGGAGGCTCTGACCACAGCACAGCGCACCATAACCCTGTCTGATGTGATCATTAACCTTTCTGGAAAAGGCAGCCGGCAATTCTCTGAGGTTGTCTTTGGGATGTGAAGAGAGCCACACAGATACTGCACAGACTACAGATTGTTTGGTTTACTTTGAGAGCTGTTGGTCCACTTTTGTGTGGCAGAAAAATGAGATTTCAACAATTCTGTTTTGTATTTTTTATTTTTATGATGAGTCTTCTCCTTATCAACGGACAGAGACCAGGTAGGATTTTGATACATTTGTACTGAGTAACTTGTTATGCCTGTTTGTGTTCCTGGGTCCCTGAGCAGGATTGTGTTTATCTGAAAATCACTTAGGTGTGCTTGCAGTTATAGTATTGGGGTAAATGTGTAGGATTTTGGAAGTATGCTATTTTTCCTACTGGGCGTATTATCTGGGTATTTTAAAAATGGCTGGACTTTAGAATGATAACGTGATCTTTATCATTAAAATGATAAAATGATCTTACAACTATTTTTTTCTAAATGCAAGGAAAATTTATCACTAAGCTATTGCAGATATGTTGTCCTTACAAGTAAAAAGAAATGGAAATGTTGATTTATTCATTATAGAGGTAAATAAACCTATAAATTTTTAGGTAAAATGCAAAATCCAAAGCAGTTTATCAAAAAAGCATGTTGCTGTCTGGAGTAGAGGCTGAATTAACAACATTTAACAATCATAATGTCTGAGATTTACTCATTTTTTGGCTATCTCCCATGTATAACAAAGTATACATGTAATGGTTAAAAAAAATTGAAAAATAAAAAACAATATGACAAAGTACAGGTGCAATATTAATAGCTGTTATTTCTAGTTATATAATTAGGTATATTATGTAAAACAAATAAGTGCAGTTTTTATTATTATTATGTTTATAGAGCCAAAAATGTCAAAAAATATATATGGCCAAGATACATAATGTTAATATACTTGACACCTTTTTCAGTTTTTCAATAATTGATATTGGTTATGTTATAGTTAACCAACAGGAATTTAGTAGACAAAATTATCATATGTGCTCATACTTCAAAAACAAATAAGATTTCAAAGCACTGGTAAGTTAGGGGAAAAAAATAGAGTTTTCTGACTCAGGAAAATTGTTGCAGGAAATTATTGCAAACCCAAGTTTAAGCAGAAAATTGATAACATTTACATCCAAATATGTTAGATTATTCACTTGGTAATATACTTCTCCAGTTAGAACAGAAAATGGTGCATAAAGTGGTTAAAAATTCAGACTTTGCCTTTTAGTTAATTGGAAGTTTGATTGCCCTGAGTTTATTTCAAACGACGTCCCCTAGTCTGTCTTTTTACATAAATAATAAAGTTCCAAGTCAGCAACTCAGAGAGAGCAGCTGGATCGTTTCTTATTGTTTACAGTAATGGCTATTCAAACCATTTCTACTTTTTCAAAATACAGAACACCTTAGACAATATTCTTATAAAATATTTGTGATTAATTTACTACATAAAAAGGTCTAGGAGCATTTAGGAAGAAAGCTATCTAAAAGGAGGAGGATATTACTATTAAGATCTTGCTATTAATATTACCTGTTAGGAATACATCTTTTGTGCATGCATCTCATTAATTTTTTATATCATAATTACATCTGAACAAATAGCAAATAGCTACAGTATAGTTTGGCTCCAAAATATAGTTTTGCATTCTCCAAATTAAACAACAAATTTCTGAAAAATGCTCCTAATATTTCTTTTTTCTTTTTTTCTTCAGCTAATTTGGCCATGAGAAGAAAATTGCACAGACACAACTGCCCGCAGAGGAGATGTATGCCTCTTCATTCACGAGTGCCCTTCCCCTGAGGTATTTCTGATAGAAAACAGTTTTACTATATTTAGTCAATGTTTCAAATTGGATATACTAAAGAATGTTTACTCATATTTTGTAATATGTGATAATGGCTTATGGTGATGTCAAAGCTTAAGAGAGACATACTAATAAATGAAAGAGTGAAATGAATGACAGGATGTTTGAGAATTGCTTTAATAGTTAAGGAAGAAATGAGATAGATGAAAATGCAGGAAAATCTTGATAATTGTTAAATCTGAGTGATAACTACATGGAGGCTAATACTATTGTGTGTGTTGAATTTTCATAATTAAAAAATCAGGCACTGGAAGAATTTAATTATAAAATTGTCTTTATGCATGTGTTTTGAAAAACACTGGCTAGCTCTTGGTTGTACCCAGGACAAGCACATATCCATTAAGATCACTGTGTACCGGAAAGCACTGGGACATATTACCCAACACCATACCAGTGATGGACTAGCCTCAATACTGCTGGGCTTACTTTTTCTGGTTATATTTCTTTAATATTTAAAATAAACTTAATATTAATGACATGACAGCTTTCCAGCCTCACTACTATTAATAGCATTGGTCTTAATGGTTGCATCTCTAAGGATAAATTTTCAATAGAATTTTTTTACACTCACTAAATAATTTTACACCACCACTATCATCCGTAATACTGTTTGAATCAATTAACTTCAAACACTGCCCAAGTCTAAGTCACCTCAAACTAAAAAGTAAATACTTCGGCATTCCATTGTAATTATTTTAAGCTCATTAATTCATTTAAAATATATTTCTTTTAAAGAATGCTATAGAAATATCTCTCAGCTGGTTAATACACATGGGCAATGGCTAAATTAGCTTATTCAGTTGGTCTGTAGACTGTTATGGCTCTATTCATTCAGTGGAAAGAATGGTTGCTATGCCTATTGTTTAATTCCTGCTTTTCAAACCCCTTGAAAGCCCTGGAGTGGGAAGTTAAATGAAGAAAGAGCAATTAAGTAATAAGCATTTCTCAAAAGGACTAAGACAAAAAGTCAAGTTCTCTATGCCTGTATCTGTGACAAATTACTCTCTGCTATCAAAATATGAAAAATGGGTTTGGTGGAGGAATCCAGAAAGATATAGTAGGAGGCTCCTGAGAAGCCAATTAATAGTGATTGAATCATGCTTTAAAAGAATTTAATATGTTAAAATATCCTTTGGCGGGAGTTGATAATGCTTCCAGCAGAGCATTTTAGTCTCATATATAAAATATTTGTAAAATCTGTGCTTAGGAGTGGAGAAGTTCCAGATTTTTCCAGTCCTCCCCCATAAATAACAAAGAGGAGAAGACACATTCCACAATAGCAAGAGAATTCCTGCATATACAGAGAAAAATACCTTACAAAAAATAGGAACACAAATCCTTAGCCACAGGTTATCCTCAAACAGCCTACTGTGAAAACCAGGATTGCAAATAAACAAAATAGAGTAGTGAAATTTGAATTGTTAAAGTTAAGGGAAATTTTGATCTATAAACCAAGTTTGTAAAGCAAAGGGAAATTTAAATAAAAGCTATATAAACCACTTAATAGCAATCCTTTACAAAAGTTTGCTGATAGCTTTATAGAACTGCTCAGGTTACAGCATCCATTTTCTCAGTTTTAGGCTAGTTCTGCATTCCAGCTACGGTTCTTTGAAGAATATTTTAAAGTCACCTGAATCCAGTGATTACTATAAAAGCCAACGTAAAACAAACATTAAGACAATTTCCCAAGATCTTGCTCAGCCAGTACTATAAAACTGCTGTCTTCATATTCGATAACATAATTCTCAACGTCTTAAATATTTTCACATTTGTGTATGTCTTGCAACAAGGGCACTTTGACAACCAGGTAAATGCACTCTGGACCTATGTAGTGGACTCTAAGGCAAAAGCTCCCTTTCATTTCTCCTGCTCTGTTTTTTGGGTGGTTTAGATAAAATCACTCATGGTTATTTGATTCAGTTAGGGTCAAGTAAGACTGTAAATGGGATAGCTAAAGTAAACAATCCAGTCTGGAAGTTTTCCAGATTAACCCTTTAGGGTGGCTTAGACCTTTAGCTCATTTAATAAGAACACCCTGTTATCTTCATTCTGCCCACTTTTCCAGCTCCTAGAGTCCTCCTCAGTGATCCTCAGCAAGATTTCCAAGCCTGTATAACTGAGTTAATTAAACAAAAAAATCTATGCTGTGTGCAGTTTATTTCCTTGATTTCTTTTTTCTCACAAAAAATATTTTGGCATCACCTTCAGTCCTAAGGGAATGAAAGTGGAGACGAGTGAGAGAAGGAAATGCAGGCTTGTAGGCTGATGTGAGAGCCCTGGAGTGGGAAATGCGGAACTTAAGATTCAAATGACTTCCCCCTTCCAACAGTAAAATCTCACCCCATCAATGCTTTTATTTATAAATAAGTACTCTAGATAACTATCTCCCCTGTAAGTACATACTCTAGCTAGCTTTTCAGTAATAATTGTAATACATGTTCATGTTATAAAATTTATTTCTAACAGTATGAAAGAATAAAGTCAAAAGTACAAATTCCCCATCCCACCCTGTTAACCAATTTCAATTCCCAGAGGCTATGAAAAGATATTTGGTAACAAGTGCCTTTTAATACATTATTTTAAATTGAGTCCAGCCAACACTCTCATCACCATTGCTTACCATTCAATGTGCTTCTAGTCCTCTATTTTCTGCCTTATTCTTACCCCCTTGCAGTCAAGGGCTTCTGACCCCCTTGTCCAAACCTCTGTTCTGCTTCCCAACTCTTTCTGCAATTGTCCTATTGTCCCTTATCTCTTCATTTTCTCTACCCAACTCTGCCGTCAGCACAGAATCTCTACTTTAGCAGAGTACTTCATCTCCAACTTTAGCCACGGCTAAAGAATTCTGGGAAGAACTCTTCTCATTTTTAGGCACCTCTGCTCCCCATTTAGCTATATTTCAAGCCTTTAATCACCTCTGTACTTCTTAACCTCCTCTGCCAACTCACAGCAAGAGATAACTCCTCCCAGATGGTATCACAGAGAAAATGGAGATCATTAAGCCTCAAAATCCTACCCCACCCTCAAACTGCAAACACTACAACGACAAACTACAAACTACCTCTGGAACACTTCTTCTATTTTCCCTTCCTGAGCTTTCACTAAGACATGTCTCTCTTGGGTATGGTTAATCTCTCTACACCTCAAAGACTTTGATCCACTAATTACTGCCTTCCCGCCCACCCCCACCACCCACCCCACCTCCGAGAATGTTCAATATGTCAAAACTAATCTATTTCAGAAAGAAAGGAAGGAAGGAAGGAAGGAAGGAAGGAAGGAAGGAAGGAAGGAAGGAAGGAAGGAAGGAAGAAAGGAAGGAAGGAAGGAAGGAAGGAAAAGAGAGGGAGGGAGGAAGGCAGGAAGAAAAAAGATCCACCAATGACCCCATAGTGCTCTCTAGTGACCAACCCATGTTCTTCTCCTCACAGGCAAATTTCTTGAAAAGATAGCTATTTCCTTTCCTCCCATCTATTTTCAATACATTGCTGCCTATTTCATTCTCAGAAAGGTCCCTCATGACTTCCTTCTTCCAAATCCAGTGAACACATTTCAGTCCTGATCTGTTACCTTACTGTGGGTCAAAGGATGGAATGGGTTGTCCTGGGCTTCAGTGATGCCATGCTTTCTCTTCTGTCTGAAACAAATCATGATTTTTTTTAGGACCTCTACAGGATGTTCAGTTGCCTACATGGAATCACTGCAGCTGTCTATAGGCATCTTAAGCTTTTGTCTACACTGCATATGCAAATCTCTACCATGGCTTTTTTGAGGCTTATTCTCATACCTCAGTTCTCTGTTCCAATATCACACATGTCATCACAAATCCTTCCTTGACGACTTGACATAAAATAGCAATATCTCATAATACTCAAGATGCCCCTATTCCCCTTAACTTGGTTTGTCTTTGTAACATCTATTTCCGTCTGACAATATATGTCAACCTATACCAGGGCTGTCTGGAAAGTATCCAGCCATGTAACCATTCTCGTTATATTAACAATGGATGGAAACTTTCCAGACAGCCCTTGTATATTTACATTGTTATTATGTTTAGCATCTACTTCTCTTCATTAGAATGTAAGTTTCATGAGAATAGAGATTTTACTTTGGTTACAACTATATGCCCAGTGACTATTGTAAGCTTTCAAAAAAAATTTGATGAATTAATGAGTGAGTGAATGGATAAATGAATGGACACCTAAAAGGGAATTCTTCAATTCCTCCCACTCAGTTATTTCTCCTTCTGCGTTCTCAAAATTTGGGAAATAAGGCCGGGCGCAGTGGCTCACGCCTGTAATCCTAGCACTCTGGGAGGCCGAGGCGGGCGGATTGTTTGAGCTCAGGAGTTCGAGACCAGCCTGAGCAAGAGCGAGACCCCGTCTCTACCAAAAATAGAAAGAAATTAATTGGACAGCTAAAAATATATAGAAAAAAATTAGCCGGGCATGGTGGCGCATGCCTGTAGTCCCAGCTACTCGGGAGGCTGAGGCAGCTTGAGCCCAGGAGTGTGAGGTTGCTGTGAGCTAGGATGACGCCACGGCACTCACTCTAGCCCGGGCAACAAAGTGAGACTCTGTCTCAAAAAAAAAAAAATAAAAATTTGGGAAATAATTATAAAGCCACCATGTACTAGATGTTTGCTAAATATTAGGCACTGTGATATGAAATACACATGTTACTATCTCATTCAATGTAAATTTCTAAGCATGGTGCCCTATTATTCACTTCTAGTTGATTTCCCAAACCTGTCATTTCTACCTTGAAATCATTCTTGAATTTTCCCTTTTCATTTTTACTGTTATTATCTTTTTTTTTTTTTTTGGAGACAGGGCCTCACTCTGTCACCCAGGTTGGAATGCAGTGGCATTATCATAGCTCACTATAACCTCAAACTTCTGGGCTCAAGCAATCCCCCCACCTTAGGCTCTTGAGTAGC